TTCTCCAGATATGTGATCCTACTAAACACAAATGATTTAATCTCTTCCTTTCCAATTTGTGTACTTCATGTCTTTCCCTTTTTATTTATTTTTTTAATTGAAGGATAATTGCCTTACAGAATCGTCCCTTCTCTAACTGCTTTGGCTAATATGTGGAGAAAAATGTTGAATAATGGTGGGGATGATAGAGATCCTTGTTCTGTTTTTGTTTTTAATGTGACACTTAAGGTTCTTCATTAAGCATGGCACTAACTTTGGAGATGGATGAACAGACTTTACTTTCTTAAAAAAGTGTCTGCACCTTTTCATTTTATTAAGAGCTTAATTTATAAAGAGCAGATGTTCAAGCATACAAACTATCCTTTTTTTTTTTTTTGAGAATGATGCTTAGATTAAATAATAAGGGACAAAATGGAAAATATTAAAATAGTTGATTAGACTAAAATTAAAAACCTCTGTTCTTCAAAGGAAACTATAGTGGAATTAAAAGATAAACCACAAACTGGGAGAAAACATTTGCCATAGTGAAACTGCATGTAGAATATATAAAGTCATCCTACAAATTAATATTTTTCCCATGTGAACTCTATAAATTAATTAAAAAGTTTTATAAACCAAGAGAAAAATAGGCAAAAGACATAAACAGATGGATGCTGAATTTTATCAAATGACTTTGTAGCAAAATTATAAATGATCCCTGATAATTTCTTTTTACCAAATATATATTTATATAAGTTATATTATGTATCAGTTCAGTTCAGTCACTCAGTCGTGTCTGACTCTTTGTGACCCCCATGGACTGCAGCATGCCAGGCTTCCCTGTCCATCACCAACTCCCAGAGCTTACTCAAATTCATGTCCATTGAGTCGGTGATGCCATCCAACCATCATCCTCTGTTGTCCCCTTCTCCTCCCTCTTCAATCTTTCCCAGCATCAGGGTCTTTTCAAATAAGTCAGTTCTTTACATTAGGTGGCCAAAGTATTGAAGTTCCAGCTTCAGCATCAGTCCTTCCAATGTGTATTCATGACTGATTTCCTTTAGGACTGACTAGTTGGATCTCCTCGCAGTCCAAGGGATTCTCAAGAGTCTTCTCCAACACCACAGTTCAAAAGCATCAGTTCTTCAGTGCTCAGCTTTCTTTATAGTCCAACTCTCACATCCATACATGACCACTGGAAAAACCATAGCCTTGACTAGATGGACCTTTGTTGGCAAAGTAATGTCTCTGCTTTTTAATATGCTGTCTAGGATGGTCATAGCTTTTCTTCCAAGGAGCAAACATCTTTTAATTTCATGGCTGCAGTCACCATCTGCAGTGATTTTGGTATTTCCACTGTTTTCATTTTTCCCTATCTATTTACCATGAAGTGATGGAACTGGATGCCATGATCTTACTTTGCTGAATGTTGAGTTTTAAGCCAACTTTTAGCTTTCCTCTTTCACTTTCATCAAGAAGCTCTTTAGTTCTTGGCTTTCTGCCATAAGGGTGGTGTCATCTGCATATCCGAGGTTATCGATATTTCTCCAGGCAAACTTGATTTCAGCTTGTGCTTCATCCAGCCCAGCATTTCTCATGATGTACTCTGCATATAAGTTAAATAAGCAGGGTGACAATATACAGCCTTGACACACTCCTTTCCTGATTTGGAACCAGTCTGTTGTTCTATGCCCAGTTGTAACTGTTGCTTCTTGACCTGCATACAGATTTCTCAGGAGGCAGGTCAGGTGGTCTGTTATTCCCATCTCTTGAAGAATTTTCCACAGTTTGTTGTGATCCACACAGTCAAAGGCTTTGGCATAGTCAATAAAGCAGAAGTAAATATTTTTCTGGAACTCTCTTGCTCTTTTGATGATCCAACAGATGTTGGCAATTTGATCTCTGGTTCCTCTGCCTTTTCTAAATCCAGCTTGAATATCTGGAAGTTCATGGCTCATGTACTATTAAAGCCTGGCTTGGAGAATTTTGAGCATCACTTTGCTAGTGTGTGAGATGAGTGCAATTGTGTGGTAATCTGAGCATTCTTTGACATTGCCTTTCTTTGGGATTGGAATGAAAACTGACCTTTTCCAGTCCTGTGGCCACTGCTGAGTTTTCCAAATTTGCTGGCATATTGAGTGCAGCACTTCCCCAGCATCATCTTTTAGGATGTGCAGTAGCTCAGCTGGAATTCCATCACCTGTACTAGCTTTATTTGTAGTGATGCTTCCTAAGGTCCACTTGACTTTGCATTCCAGGATATCTGGCTCTAGGTGAGTGATCACACCATTGTGGTTTTCTGGGTCATGAAGATCTTTGTTGTATAGTTCTTCTGTGTATTCTTGCCACTCCTTCTTAATATCTTCTGCTTCTGTTAGGTCCATACCATTTCTGTCCTTTATTGTGCCCATTTTGCATGAAATGTTTCCTTGGTATCTCTAATTTTCTTGTAGAGATCTCTAGTCTTTCCCATTCTATTGTTTTCCTCTGTTTCTTTGCATTGATCACTGAGGAAGGCTTTCTTATCTCTCGTGCTATTCTTCAGAACTCTGCATTTAAATGGGTATATATGGGTATATAATGGGTATTTTACATATATACATATATATAAATTAAATGTATAAGACTATATGTATTTTATTCCTAGAATAAATGTCACTCATTTATTTAATATAATTCAAGATTCTGTTTGCTACTTTAATTAACCAATATGTGTTTTGTATTTTTTAATGTATCTTCATCAGAATTAGGTATTATTGCAATGTTTTATTTATATTGCTTTTTGTTTATATAGTAGTTTAAGTAGCACTGGAATTATTTACCTTAAAAATTTTGTTTCCTCTATGAAACAATCTGAATGAGGTACTTTTATAAATGGTTTGTGTGTGTGTGTGTGTAGCAGGGGGATGAGAGGGGGTGATAGTGAGTAAGTCTTTGATAGTGTTTTGTAGTTCTTCTAACTTAATTTTTCTCTAAAACTGTTTTTAGGGTCAGTTTTGTAAATTATACTTCTTAAAAATTACCTGATTTCCACTACTGCTTTCCTCCTATGTCTTTGTTCTGCAAACAGGCTTCTTTCTTCTCCCTCTCAAGTAGAGAGAGGTACTTCTGACAGGGAATACTGCTGCATCCCTTCTGCTGACAGGGAAGCTCTTTGCAAGCTATACATTTTATCAGTTATATTCAACTGACACACAAACGTTATACATGTGCTTTTAGCAACAGACTTAGAGCCTGCAATGGTACACAGCATAAGGACTTATATTCTGTGATAACTTCATAGACAGTTTTTTCCATCTTTGAACACTGGGGTAAAAAATACGGTTACAAGTAAAATAATAGCTTTTCATTAGAATTCTTTAAAGTTCTTATCAATATTTCCCCCTGAAGTGCCTCAGGGAACCTTCTGGAAAATTCAAAGTTAGGTAGAGAAAGAAACATATCTGTTATCAAAAGCAGTTCAATATACAAGGAAAATGTTGTTCTCTTAACAGAGAGAAAACTAAATCCCAGCCTTGTACCAGCTTACTATTAATAACAAAATTCGTTCATCTAATTAAATTCAATCCAATTTTATTCAGTTTGACAACACACAGAATTCTTTTCTCAAAGTTCCTTTTTCACAATCATCATTTTTTCTATCTATATTAATTTGTCCCATATTTTTCCTATCCAGAAACAACAAAATTTTCTCCTTTTATCCCTCAACAATAATATTTCCATTCTTTACACTTTTTCCTGCCAACAACACACATCCTACTTGGCTTACACACTGAAGTGTGTCCTTTATCATTTGTAGTAGCCTTAATTGCATATTATAATTTTTAACCTTTAAAAGACCTGAACAGAACCAAGTAATTGAACTGTTATATCAGCATGTTCTGATTGGCAAACTTAAGAACATATTCCATAACCACTAAAAAAATACATTTTTCTCATAGCACAATTTCTCTTTAATGTGGTGCAAGATGTGTGTTTAATAAACGCAAACATCTTTAGTTTTTCCTTTTTTCATAAGAAGACAATATCAGGTAAACCTAAACTTGTCTGGCAATCAAAGTTCCAGTATATTGTCTTAAAAATGATTTAAACTTTTAAACTAAATCTCATCATTTAACTTAATTTAGCAAAACTCTAAAGTTTCAAATTATCAAAAATCTGTAAAACTACTTTATAATAGACATCCCTGAAACATATTTCCAAAATGTTCACCCAAAAGTTTTTATCCCACTTATGACAATATCTCACACATATATATCCAGAGATCTCATACTTTCATCTTAAAATTTAATCATAAATCAAATATTTCAATATAAAACTTACTAGTCTATAAATAACAATTGGAATAAGTTAAATTTTATAGACTTCAGTTTTAAAAACATTTTTCCTCCTTTTTCTTTTGTCTTGAAATTCTACTCATTAACTCAGGCAAAGTGCATTGTATTTGTATTTTAAGGACATGAGGAAAGTTAACTTCAAGTTTTCTCCTAGGTATATTTTTATACTCGCTGAAAAATGTGTTTTAATCAAGCTAGCTTTCTCTTGATTGCATTTGCGAAAAGAACTCATTTTGGAGTTTCAAAAGTTTCATCTTGATCAGTTTTCTCCAGAGTTTAAAGAGTACAGTTGCCATACAGTGTTAGAAAATTATCTTTTTCTTAGCCATAGGTTCAATAGATAAATTTTTTCTAATAAATTGAATTTGAATTTCCCATTTTGCAAAAGGCAACAAGAATACCAGTCTCAAAAATGGAATACACACTCACATACCAGAAGACAGAACTGCCACAAATTCACTGGTAGGGTGACTGAAATGGTGTCCCAAATAAACTCTTCCCCAACAAAAATGATCCTGAACGATAAACACACATCAGGATCAATTGGCAAAACGCCCACATGACTCTCTGTGCTCACAAAAGGTCCTCAAGAGCAGAGTGACATCAGAATCATTTGGCAAAATGCGCAAATAGAACTTTGTGCTCAAAAGAGAAGTTTGCCCAGCAGCACACCAGTGGACTTACTTGGTCTCGGAGTTCATCAGCTTGTCCAGGTCCATTTTTCCATTCCACTGACGAAAAGCATAAGTTGACAACCAGTGCCGCGCAGGAGGGACACGGGGAGGATCCCTGAAACAAATGGCTTCAGCAACTGCTAGGAATGTTCCCCCCAAATCTTCCTCCCGGGGCCAGCTAGCCAGCAGCAGCGGCCTCATCGGAGCCATCCCGGCACGTTGTCATGGCCGACGGCTACGCTTGGGAAATCCCCTGGAAGCTAGATATCGCGAGAGCACAGCCTTATTTGGATGCAAAACACTTGCTCGCCCCTCAAAAACCAGTAAGGTTGGAGGAAAGGTAAGTTCGCTTTATTTCAGAGGCCAGGAATCTGGGAGTGGTGAGGGGAAGTTTGTTTCCATTTCTTTGAGGCCGCGCGTGTATGTGTGCTATCTCTTCAGTCGTGTCTGACTCTTTGCGACCCTGTGGACTGTAGCTTTCCAGGCTCCTCTGTTCATGGGATTCTCCAGGCGAGAATAATGGAGTGGGCGGCCATGCCCTCCTCCAGGAGATCTTCCTGACCGAGGGACTGCACCTGTTGCCTCCTGCAACTCCTGCGTTGCAGGCTGGTTCTTTACCTCTGAAGCACTAGGGAAGTCCTTCTCTGAGGCCAGTTCTCAGAACTGTGGCAGCTTTCCTCAGGGCTTCAGTCTGGTCATCAAGCAGTTAACATCTCCCACCTGGGCGGGGGCTCCAGTGTCTACAAAGCGGCTCGCAGGAGATGACTCAGAATGTTGTCTACAGCCCCCGAGGAGGGACTAAGGTCCTTGACTGTGCTTAAGGACTAAACTATTATTATTTGGTCTTCTTTGTTTCTGCATTTTATCACTTCTCTGATTAAGCTTATTCTTTGGCTAAAGTTTAAGTAAATGTTAGTCACTCAGTCATGTCCGACTCTTAGCAAACCCATGGACTGAAGCCTGCCAGGCTCCTCTGCCCTTGGGATTCTCTAGGCAAGAATACTGGCGTGGCTGAAGCTTGTACATGGGCAAAAAGCAGGCTGAGGACATGGGGTGCAAGGACCGTAGAGTCCTGCTCCATGTCAATACTAAGTGATGTAAGACACTAAGACAAATGTTACATGCTATTGCTTGTATGTGGAATCTAAAAACACGATACAAGTGAACTTATATACAAAGCAGAAATAAACTCACAGACATAGAAAACAAGCTTATGTTTACCAAAAGAGAGAGGAAGGGAAGGATAAATTAGGAGGCTGGGATTAGCAGATACACACTACTATATATAAAATAGATAACCAACAAGGACCTACTGTATAGCCCAGAAAGCAATACTCAATCTTTTGTAATAACCTATAAGGGAGAAGAATCTGAAAAGATACATATATATATTCACATATGTATACACACATATGTTCATATATATATATAGATATATATATACACATATGTCCACATATATATACAGGTGTATATATATACACATACGTTCATATATATATACACACAGGTGTGTATATATATACACACACACACACATGTTTATATATATATATATATACACACACACACAGATGTATATATGTGTATAAACTGAATCACTTTGCTGTCCACCTGCAACAAACACAATATTGTAAATAAACTATTTTCAATAAATGTCTATGTTCTCAGTCATGTTGAACTTTCTTAGAATGATATGGCTTGCATTGTACATTCTCAACATATACTTATAAAGTAGCCTTTCAAGCACTGGCACACATCTTGCTTTGGTTATTGAGTATTACAGAAGGAGTCTTGGTGAATATAAGGGGAAGAGTCAGCGATGGGCAGCTATGGAGACTAGGGTGGGTGGGATTAGAGTTAATCCAGGGTCTGACATAGGGTGGTAAGGCAAAGAAACAATGAGACTGGAGTTAAGAAATGGAACAAGTGTCTCTGGGATGGAACATAGCTCTCAGGGAATCTGCCCCAAGTATAAATTACTAGACCCTGGATTCAGCTCTATACTTGGCTAGTCAGTAGCTTTCATCATGAGAAAGTTACTTCACTTCTGAGTCTTGCTTTCTGTGCCTTAAGATGAGAAAAATGATGCCCCCTTTTCCTGGAGTTATTGTGAATATTAGAAGAGATGAACACAGATAACATATGCCAAATTATCAATCAAAAAGGTGCTTAGCACATAGAAAGCCCTTGACAAATGCTGATTAAAAAAAAAAAAAAAGCTTATTTATTTGGCAGTGCTGGGTCTTAGTTGCAGCATGTGAACTCTTAGTTATGGCATGTGACATATTTGATTCCCTGACCAGGGATTGAACCCAGGCCCCTTGCAATGGGAGCAGAGTCTTAGCTACCAGACCACTAGGGAAGACCCTTGACAAATGCTAATTTTCTTTCTTATCTATAATGTTACTTTCTCATCCTCCCCAATGCCTAGGAGTTGATGAAGGAAGATCTCTCAATGCACAGTTTGATTGTTTTCCCATTTACCTTTTCAATATGGCCCCACAATGGCTTTCATTCTAGTAGAAACCAAACTGTGTTTATGTGGACCCAAGAAATTATAGGAGTGAATGTTCAGAAGGTTCCTGGTACTGTTCTAGAACATAGTAGGATTTGGTAAGAGGCACCTATCATTATTTCACAGGTCCTCAGCCTCACTGAATTGTTGAGATGCACTTGAGTTGCCTGGAACCTGTGATCTCCATATGGGCCACTTTAGGTAAATGAGTACTTTCTCTGGTTCCTACCATCACCCTCAATTTTCTTGCTAGTGCATCTTTACTTCTACTGCCTTCATAAGACCTAACTATTTCTTTTAGCTTTTGACAAATATAATTCCCTTGATTTTTAACCTCATTTCCTTCCTCTTCATTAGACTAAATTTAACTCATCCTTTTAATCTCAGATTACCTGTCAAGTAATCAGGAAAACTTCCCTGATCCCCTTGGACCAGGCTAGGCCTGCTGTTGTATGGTGTGTTAGTACTCTGCCCTTCTTTTTGCTAGTATTTATTACAAGTATAATTAAAGAGATTATTTTTATATGCAGTAAACTCTATGTCTTGTTCTCTGCTTTATTTTTAGTACCTTGTACAGTTTTTGGAGAGGAGATCAGTAAATACTCAATGATTGAGTGCACATGCTAATAAATGGACCAGCCTCAGAAATAATCAATGAATGCATTAAGTGGAACTTTGTTTAAGTTTAAAATTTAGCTTTAAAAATAAAACTTGGTTTTAGTTAAAACCCCAAAGATTTTGGGCCCTTTCCCGTGTGTGGTGCTGCTTATGGTGACCCTGTTCTCATGGTGGGTTGTTGTGGTACAACTTATTGCTTATTTTAATGAATGGAAAAATGATTGGGGTGAGTTTCCCTTGTATTTCTACCTTACTCAATTTGAACAATTTTTTTTTGCACTCATTTAAAATGATATCAAGTTCATTAGAAAGTTCTAATTTATAGTTTATAAGTTTATAGTTTATGCAACTCAGCTAACTTTATTGAGTAACTGTTCTGAGTCAGTGGTCCTCAAGCCTTAGTGCACTTCTGAATCACCTGGTAGGCTTGTTGAAACCGAGATTGCTTATAATTGGGGACATCAACATCTTACTCTCGACAACTGATAGAATTACTAGGTAGGACCTTATGAAGAATATAGAACTGAACAACACCATTAAACAATAAGAACTAATAGACATTTCTAGAACATTCCATCCAACAAAAGCAGAACATACATTCTTTTCAAGTACCATGGAACATTCACCAAGATAGATCCTATCCTGAGTCATGAAACGTTAAATTATTTAAAAAGAAACCACATAGAGTGTGCTTTCTGACCACATTACACTGTAGCTAGAAATCACCAACATAAAGACAACAGGAAAATCTATAAGCACCTAGAAACGAAACAACACACTTACAAATAATCCCTGGGTCAGAGAGGAAATCTCAAAGGAAATTTAAAAATACATAAAACTGAGTGAAAGTGAAAGCATAGAATATCAAAATTTGTGGGATGCAGCTAACACCGGATTGAAAGGACTCAAGACTTACATTAGAGAAGAGGAAAGATCTCAAATCAGTAATTCAAGTTTTTACCTCAAGAAATTAGAATGATGACATAAAAATAAATGCCAAACAGAGGAATGGATAGCACATGTCAAGGCAGCAGAAATCAGTGGAATTCAAAATAGGAAAACATTAGAGGAAATTAATGAAGTGAAAAGCTGGTTCTTTGGGGGAAAAAAATCAATAAAACTAATAAACTTCTAGTAAGACTAAAATCTTATCTTACTTTTGAAATCTTACCTTTAGTAAGGTAAAAATAGAGAAGAAATCACCAATATCTTTAATGACAAGGAATATAATTTATAGATCCTTCAGTCGTTAAAGGATAATAAAGGACAACTATGAACAACATTATACTCATAATTAGACAACTTAGAAGAATTGAAAAACTCCCTCAAAACCCCACAATCTGCTAAAATACAACTAAAATAAAATAGATAACCTGAATAGACTTTTAATAATCAAAGAAAATGAATTTATTATTTAAAAACTCTTAAAAATTAAATATTCAGGCCCAGATGACTTTATTGGAGAAACTTATCAAACATTCAAGAATTAACAAAAATTTTACATGATCTCTTCTAGAAAATATAAGAAAAGGGAACCTGTCCCAACTACCTAACTGTTTTTATGAGGGCAGTAGTACTCCGATATCAAAAACTAGACAAATATCTTCAAAAAGGAAATGATAGGCTGATAAGTCTCATAAACTTAAGTATGAATATCCTCAAGAAAATTTTAGCAAATCAAGTACAACAGTGTATAAAAGGCATAATATATCACATGTAAGTGGGATTTATTCCAGGTATACAGGATGGTTCAACATCTGAAACTCTTTGTGAAACACCATATCAACTGGCTCAGGAAGGAAAATCACATGATTATACCAATGTACAAGAAAAGCATTAGGCAAAATTCGACTGTCATTCATAATAAAACTTGCAGTACACTAGGAATACAGGAGAATTTCCTTAAACATAAAAAGCATCAACAAAAACTTAGAGCTAACATTGTACTTAATGATAAAAGATTAAATGCTTTCCTCTGAGATCAGGAAACAAGCTAAGGATGTCTGCTCTCACTATTCTAATTAATATAGTACCTGAAGTCCCAGTCAGTGAAATAAAATGAGGCATGAGAAAG